AGCACTCCGACGGATAAGTCAGTGTATACTCTCTTGATTGCTTGTATCTTAAGTTAAGCACACTAGTTCTCACATACCTTTCTCTGACTGATGATTCTATATTTATATTATTCCCTTTGGGCCCTAAGGCTAGGCCCATCCTTGATCCTTTACATGTACTTCTACTCGGCCTTTGTTCTACTGATTGGAAAGCTGATTATTTTATTCGGCTTTTCAATTGACTAGGATCAATGCCGAATAAAGATTATGTCCCGAACTGGACTCGTTCATTCATCCCTATTGATCCAATTAAATTCGGCTCCCACAGGGCTCCATACTCACTCATTGCTTGATTCACAATAAGCTGGGAGTCACAGAAGACTACCACCTCATCGGCTTCTATTGCTGCTGCTAGCCTTAGTCTAGCAATCAGTGCCTGGGACTATGTTTCATTGTTTGAGGCCTTGAATCACAAACAGATTGATTGTTCTATCATTCGCTCCTCTGGCGATACCAAAATCACTCCTGCCCCCACTTCTTGACGGTTTGAACTTCCATCAACAAAAAGGCAGAAGGAATCGCCGATGTAGATGTCGCAGGGTTTTGGTTGCTCTACCTTCTTCTATTTTGCTAGCGTAGGGTCCTTTAGCCCCAGTTGGGTTTCCTATGGTTCTCTTGGACATCCTAAGTTGCGACTCACCGGAGCCCGCCTTGGGATGGTACCAGGAGTGAACTCAGCCACAAAGTCGGCCCGAACCTAGTCCTTTATTACTGTTCTAGGCTTGAATTCCAAGTCGTATTGGCCCAACACCATTACCCATCTGGCTATTTTGCTTGTCAAATCTCCATGCTGCAATAAGGATTTCAGGGGAAGCTCAGCCAGCACCACAATCTTGTGGGTTTGGAAGTAGTGATTCAACTTTTTTGAAGCCATAACCAGGGCTAGTGTTAGCTTCGCCAAGGGTAGGTACTTGGTTTTTGCATTTGCTAGGGTTTTACTTGCATAGTATACTGCCATCTGTTCCCCTCCCTCTTCGTAGATTACCACCGCATTGACAACGTGGTTTGATACCGCCAAGTATAAGAATAGTTCTACTCTAGGTTTTCGAGTTGACAAAACTGGAGCTGTTGTCAGGTACCTCTTTAAGTCGGCAAAGGCGACTTTGCATTCTTCTGTCCATAAAAAATCTATGGCCATTTTCAACAATTGAAAAAATGGTTTACATTTATCAGAACTTTGGCTAATAAACCTGTTTGGGGTTGTTGCCTTGCCGGTCAAAATCTAGATTTGCTTGGCTTTTGTCCGACTTTTGAAGTCAATGATGGCCCTGATCTTATTTGGGTTTGCTTCTATGTCCCCTCCTGATGACCAGGTATCCTAGAAACTTATTAGATCCGACTCCAAATGCACATTTGAAGGCATTGAGCCAAAGCTGATATGTTTTTAGGAGATCAAAAACTACTTGTAAGTCGGCCAGATGGTTCCTAGGTTCTCTGGTTTTCACGACCATGTCATCGATGTAGACTTCTATTATCCTCCCAATCAGATGCTTAAACATCTTGGTCATTGTAACGCCCCAAAAAATAATGCTTAAACATATTAAACAATAGAAATAATATACTTTCATTCATCAGAGTTCGTATATAAAAGATAACACATGCGATATACATTGACAAATTGTTCATCCTGAATCTACAGCATGTGTTGTAATGATACAAGAACTGAAAACCAAGCAGATAATCATATGCCCTATGGGCTTACATCTTTCCAAGTCATTGCTTGGTTACAACAAAAGTGAGCCTAGCTCAATGCAATTAAAAATCTTGGCTATACAAAAAGAATGCAACAAAAGAAAGAAGCTCTTGCTCTCAAAAGTCTCTCCAAGCTATTGCCTTGGTGGAGACAAATCACCAACACTTGAAAATGGTTTTCCCAAATAGAGTGAGCCAAAGCCCAGTAGGAACAATCTAACACAATATATGAGATTTAACAAAGATATAAGTACAATGTGCATATATAATGCATGTGATAAAACATTAACATTTTTATATAATCATAAAGTACGAAGTTCATATCTTAATCCATTTTCCTTCAATTCATGAGTCAATTTCATTATCTTTCAATAACCCAACTGAGACTACAACTCAGTGGTTCTCCAATCAACACAATTACCACATAAACACTTCAATTTGCCATTTTACGAAAATTTCGTCCGCAGGATCAGCACCCATGTATACGCGTGGTTTCGGGACTTTCACCCAAAACACTCTGGCCAACTTAATTTCAATGAAGTCCATCCCCTATCTCCTCCTAAACAATGGAGTACATCCCATTTCTCCTCCCAAACAATCATATATATATAATGTATTTAAAACATAGTCATATTCAATAACAACCGACAAGAGATTAGTTTTACTTCACCTAATCCTTATGCAATTTCTACAACAATCATAACTATCCTCCATTGATAGCCCAATACAGTTATTTCTAAATAGATATTCAATCTCAAGACATATAATTTATTCAAATTTTCTAAAGGTGTGAGGTGATACATATCTAACTCTACCATTTATTTCAATATTCGTCCAATTTCATATTTACAACACCCATTTCATTTATATTTGAATCATTTTAGGGCAAACTCCATTTTCCTAAATATCAACCCAAAGGCCAAAATTAACTATTTTGTAACCATACAACCTTAAATTTAACCTCATAACCATTTCCACAACTTACACTTAGAAACCCCTTTTTTTATTTTACAACTCCAAACCCTAGGTTTGTCCATAGTACACCCAAAGCCCACTATTGTTAAACAATCACCAAATAACTAAGTTAAAACCATATGAAAGTGTAGAAAATCTCTACCTCAAAGAGAGAATACGAGCAAGGCAAAGATGAAACTCCAAGGATTCTTAAACCCAACTTTATTCGGATCAAAATGAAGATCTTGAGACGCTCTGTTTTTTTCTCAAAGGCATTAGGGTGAAGATCCCAATGGATCTAGGTGAAATAGTAGAGAGAAGATGAGTTTTAGAGAGAGAAACTCAAGATCTAGGGTTTTGGAGAGTTTTAGAGAGAGATGAATGAAAAAAATGATATAAATTGTGGTTGTTATGAACTGATATACACACAGTCCGCTCGAGCGTGAGAAGTGACATTCGAGTGTTGGATACATTGTTTCACTTGAGCACAATAAGTGACGCTCGAGTGCAGAATACACATTTTCAGAAGTTTTGTAGACAAAGGACATCGTTCGAGCTCAAGATTGGACGCTTGAGCGCCCACCCGCTCGAGCGTAGGAAATGCTGCTCGAGCATAGAATACACTCTTCCAGTATTTGCAGGTCTACAAAAATACTGAGAGTTTGCAAAGCCCGCTTGAGCGCAAGAATGGCCGCTCGAACAGAGGAGCAAAAATCTGGGCAACAAAGGTTTGGAAAATTAAGCAACCAACCTGTTCCAAACACACGACTACGATCCAATAACCAAATTTAAGGGATAACAAGAGGGAAAAAGACATGAATAACCATACGAGGCTACAAAATTCGAGCACAAAATACAAAATGGGTTGGGTCTAAACCAAAAATACTATAGTCACCAACCTTTAGTAGGTTGCTCCTACATTCTTCAACCCGAAAGGTATCACTCTGTAACAATAGAGTCCTTTTGGGGTGATGAATGTTGTCTTCTCTTCATCAGGGGCATATATTGCTATCTGGTGGTAGTCTCTGTATGCGTCTGGAAAACTCATCCTCCCATGCCCTGAAGTGGCATCTACTAATTGATCAATCTTAGGCAGTGGGAAATTGTCCTTGGGGCAAGCCTTATTCAAGTTGGTGAAGTCCACATAAACCCTCCACTTGTCATTCTTCTTTTTTATTACCACTGTGTTGGACAGACAGGTGGGGTAGTTTACCTCCCAAATGGCCTGGGCTTCTAACAACTTGTCTATTTCCTCTTCGACTGCCGCCACATGTAGCAATGTCGGCCTTCTTGCTTGCTGGATGACAAGTTAATTGACCTGTCTACATTGAGCCTGCGACAAGCGACCTTGGGGTCAATGCCAGGCATCTCATAGGGCGTCCAGGCAAACACTTTTATGTTTTCTCGCAAAAAAGCTTCCAACTTCTTTTCCTCATCCTTGGTTAAGCCTAAGCCAAGAAGAAAGAAGCGTTCTTCATCACCTTCTTGGACCAGAATCTTTTTCAAAGCTTCCTCACTCTTGTCAGCTGGTTTTTTGCCAACATCATCAAGGACCTCTATGTCCTCATCTTCAATTTCCACTGTCTTTGCCTATCGTATGTTGCAGGTGAACTTCATTGGTGTTGTGGAGTAATTTTTTGCTTATACCTGATCCCCTCTGACTTCTCCAATCCCCTGTTCAGTTGGGAATCGCAACAGCTAGTGTTAAGGGAACAACCCTCATTGCGTGCAACTATGGTCTTCCCAAAATAACATTGTAAGGGGAGGGAGTATCAATCACTATAAATTCTGTGCTTACTTTCTTGGTGTTTGCCTGCACTTCCAAATTCATGGCTCCTAGAGGCCACATTGGCGTCCCATTGAACTTGACCATGGGTCTGTCGAAATGTTCCAGATCATCTGAGTAAAGGCCAAGCTCCTTATAACATTTGACATACATGATGTCACAAGCGATGCCTTGGTCGATTAGTATGTGCCTTACCTGACATTCACCAATTTTCAAGGTTAGCACCAAGGCATCGTTGTATGGCTGCTGCACCATGTCCAGGTCTGCCTCAGTAAAAGAAACCATTGCCATAGTATTTGTTTGTCTTGGGCTTCTTTTGCTGGACTTGATACACATGTTGTAGGTGCCTTACTCTCTAGTTCTTCCTTTGTACATCATTTTCGTTGACCTTCGAGTGAATCACATTGATCACCCGAGATCCATCTACTTGTTGTGATGGCGGTGGTGGAGGCGGCGCCATTAGTGCTTGGGAAAACCTTGCATGCTCCTCCCTTGTCTTGGGCTCATCCACTACGTCTCTCAGGTGGCCCTATCTAACCAAATCCTCCAAGTGTGATTTCAGAGCCCTGGACCCTTGAGTTATGTGCCCATCTTCATTATGATAAGCACAGTGCTTCCCAATGCTCATTCTCATGAACTCGATCGGGTTCTTCTCCGGCGCTCTGTAATATGGCTGGTTCCTGATCCTTTCCAAAACTTTGTAAATCGGGATCCTGAATACAGTGGTGACTGCTTGTGCACATCTCAACCCTGTCTTCTGCCTGTTCACACCAGAATTACCTCGGCCTCGCTTCGGTGAGCTGTTTTTCTTCTCTTGCTTTGGTGTTTTTATTACTTGCGTGTCCTCTTCTACTTTGGCATACTTCTCAATTCGTGCCATGAGCTCCTCTTTACTTCTTGGTAGAGTTTTTGCAAGTGATTTCCGAAGTGGACATTCATCATCCAGGCCGTTCTTGAAAGACACGATTGCCAGCTCCTGGTTGCATGCCGGAATTCGATTGAACACCTCATAGTATCTCTTGACATAAGCCCTGAGACTTTCACCATCGCTAATATTAAGAGCCAGCAGGGAGTCTACTCTCAATGGTTGCAACTTGTTTGTAACAAACCTAGTCTTGAATATCTCGGTTAGGCCTTCCCAACTCTTCACAGTTCCTTTCAGCAAGTTGTGGAACCAATCCGATGCGATCTTCCCAAAAGATGAGAGGACCACCTTGCACAACAACTGGCCATTCCCACTATACAAAGCAATTGAATTTAAATATAAGTTGACATGAAAGTTCGGATCAGACTTACCGTCATAAATTTGGAACCTCGGCATATGGAACCTCTTTGAGGCCTCGAACGTATCTAACTTTACTGAGAACGATGTCCTTGGCTTGATAGGGGATGTGACCTCGGCATTGAGCCACTTCTTTTGGAGGTAGTCTCTCAAGTCCTCCTTTGTTCGACCGAAAGCTCTGCTATTAACCGATTTCAGCCTTTTTGGTGTGTTGCTCTCGGTTTCATTGTGTGTCCTCTTGGATTTCTCTTCATTCATTGTGTCAAAACACAGGCCCTTTCCCTAGATATACTGAGGTTCTTTGACATAAGTTCCCTTGGTACGAGGCGTCTTCTACGACTCACCTCTTACTAATTCAGTTTGCCCGACATCTCATGACGGCCGGTATGAGTGCTCCTTTCCCCTGCCATGCTGCAGGACTATTGGGATTGCTTTCTGCCCTCCTTTCTGGGCATCAGTCTTGGCCACTGGTACTAGTGTGTCCTGCAATGGAACGGTGGTTGTATCACATTTTTTTGCTTCATAAAATTGACAATCAACTGTAGGTCTGCCAGCTTGTTTGCCATCCATTTCATATCGCCGTCTCTCCTCAGGCATCTATCCTTTCATACTTGGAGGGCATTCTCGTTGTAATATTAATCTCAGCCAGCTTTCTTTGGGGCGTTACCCTCTTTGCCGACGTCCTTCTCCCCAAGATTCGGATCCTGTGCTCCTTCATTACGTTTTTCCTCATTGATGTTCAGGTCCTTATCGTTATCCAGATTAAGATCCTCCCCTGTTATAGGACTCTTGTCCCTTATCTGTTTATCTTAGATTCCGGTATCTTCGCAGATAATCTCAGCCTAGCCAAGATCATCTTGGCAGCATGATCAGACCACGTGGTACCTTGGCTGATATTTCGACGTCACCTTGATCGTGTGTTTTTATTCACAAAATATGCCCCCACAGTAAGATATTGGTGAAAGTACAAAGACTAGAATGAGATTTTATTAAAAATGTAAGGATGTTAGTAAGACGGAAAAAAAAAAAAAATTAAATATGACTTGGATGATAAGTTCTATCAATTTTATTAGATTAGTCCAAAAATCACATTACCATCTTAAACAAAATTCAAGGTACCATTTAATTTTTAAAAGAATTTGAACGCGTTTAATCATTTCATAATAGATAAGTACGATAGATAACGAAAAAAAAATTCAGAGTTCACACTCACTACAATACATAAGAGTTTTAGAAATCAAATATTTTGGCCTCTAAAAGTAAAAATTTTGTTGCAAAAGATATTTAGGGATCAATTTCTATTGTCACGAGGATAGTCGCTAAAAGGTTATTCCGAAAAGTCAAAAACAAGGCTTTTAGTGACAAAATTTTGAAAATGTCACTAATAAATAAGCTTTTAAGGACAAAATAATTTGGTCTCAAAATAGTTTATTTTTTGTGACAAAAAATTTGATCCCAAAAGGATAATAATTCATCAAAAATGTCTAATTTTCATTGCTAAAAATATAATAACGATACTTTTCGCAACAAAAATATTGGTCCTTAAAAAATAATTTTATCCCTAAATTTTGATCGCTAAAACCTTAATTTTTTTGTAATGACTTGTCCTTTTGTTCATAGAGAAATTACAATTTAAATTCACTTGATCTGTGATTAGAAATAAACTCTTGTAATCTCATTATTTTATAATTGAAGTTAGATATGCGTGGTTTGTTTGCTTATTCTTTATTCATAAAATAAAAAATAAAAAAAAGTAGGACATCTTTCTAACACATCATTTTTCCATAACTTAAACTACATCAATAATTTTACAGTCAAAAAAAAAAAATCCTAATATTCAAAAGCACGTTTAATAATTGAGATTAATTTCGTGTTTGGATTCCACTATATAAAGAACATGTCTCCACCACATACTATTTTTCTTGTCTAATTCCTGATCTATATTTCAAGATCCATAGACGTTCTCAAACTAAATTTCTCATAACCATGACAACTTTTGTTTTTTTTTTTTTTTCTTTTTGATCAGCAAAACGAAAGACTTCATTGATGAAAAACCATGCAGAGTATGAAGAGATATTTCAGTAAAGAGGAGCTTGGAGCTAAACAAAGCTCCAACCGCCTAGTTGGTGAGAGACCAACAAAGAAAACAAAACCAGAAAAAGCAACAGATCAAAGCAAAACCAGAGGAAAAAGGACCAAAACAAAACTTCAAATTAAAACAAAGAGGCAGCACAACCCCAGCAGTCCAAGAGCAGAGGAAAACCCCATCAATGCAGAGCAGAACCCCATCAGTTCAACAGCAGCAAGAGAGTGAACTTGTGGAAACACCCACAGACCAGAGCATAGAAATAAAGACCAGAACAGAGCATCAAAATAAACCAGAGAGGCAGCTCAACCCCGTCAGACCAGACCTATGACATACAACCTCTCACTTTCAACAGATCCACCATCAGACCACCATTGAAGCAAAAACATCCACAGAACAGCAGCAGCCTGCAGCAACAACAACAACAAAGCAGCAGAATTTTGTTTCATCAGATTATTTCCCATCAACATTAACACTTCTGCAGTTCATCATTTCAGCAACAAAACCAGATCAATCAGCAGAACAACAGCAAATCAGCAATTAACTACACAGAGGCAAACTTGATTCAGGTTATATATAACATCTTGCACCGAATAGTTAAACCCCTTCAAAGATGAGGAAGCCCACATAACAACTCTAACCTTTATCAGGTCTTCCAAAGCATTCCAATCCGGTTGTGCCTTATTAAATAAACACTCATTTCTGCTTTTCCACACTGACCACATTACTGCTTTTCCATCGTGACAACTTTTGTTGTAAGCTCAAATGAACAAGTTTAGTTGGCATTCCATTTTCGTAATTAGAATATTTAATAGTTGAGAGATGTGTTTTTTTTTTTTTTTTTTTTTTTTTTTTTTTTTACAAAAAAAAAAAAAAAAAAAAACCAAATTGTCCCAAAGAGTGCGTATAGATGATGAACCTGTTGAGTTGGCTACAAATTCTTCCATGTGAAGGAAAGTAGCACCAGCTACATGGTGGGGAAGCCATGATTGGCCATGAGGCCAAGAGGCCATACCATGAGCATGAGGCCATGAAGGGAAAGCCACTGAAATAGGCTGGCAGCCAGCTCAATTCCTCTTGCATTTGTAATCTCTATATATAGAGAAGCTAAGGAGAGTTGAGGGACAGCTGAGAGGTGTAAGCTTAGAGAGCAAAGAGAGAGAGAATTACAGAGAGTGTTGTAATTCTTACCATTTTGTTCAATATAGTGAATCCGCTGCCCGTGGACGTAGGCGACTTGCTGAACCACGTTAAATCTTGTGTGTTATTGCTTTGTTTGAGTTCCCTGGTGTGCCCCGATCCTCAACAATTGGTATCAGAGCCCGGGTTGCGAAAAATCGAATTTTCTCGAAAGTGCCCAGATTTCGAAGTGCTCAAAATCCACTTTTGACCATACCAGGGGGAAGAACTCCCGGAGAGGAGTCTAGAACAGCAAAAACAGAGCCAGAAGCCACCACACCGCGCTCTCACGCGCTCTCTGAACAAAGCGCGTCAGCCCAGTCACACCACGCGCCACCACGCGCCGTTCAGGCAACCGGCGCGTGATCCCAGTCGCACCCACGCGCCACACGTGCGTCTCCAGGAAGAAGACAAGCCACGTGGCACCACGTCAGCGCCAACGCCAGCACCGCGTCAGCGCCACGTCATCGCCACGTCAGTCCCGTGTCAGCACGTGTCAGCTAGTCAGCTGACCCAGCCGAGCCGTTGAGCCGGACCGCGTTGACCGCACCGCCGATCCTCCCGTTTACCTGCCCCGCCTTGACCTCGAGCCGTTGACAGCGTACCGGAAAATTATCCGGTGCATCTCAGCGCACAGATTCTGCAGATCTGACCCGTCAAAGTGTTTTTGGCCAGATCGGAGCCATTCGGAGTCCGTTTTGACGATCCAATAGTGCTTCCAACTATTTGAGTATTCCGGACACATCTGTACGGTCAGTTTTTTGAATTGAAGTTTCTAAAAAATGGCAGAATCTAGAGCAAACCCGAGTTCCGTAAGTAAATTCACCTAGTACAAGCACTTCTAGGCATTGGAACCCCGGTGTCCCATGCCAAGTTCGAGGTAAGAAGGTTCGATGGAAGCAGCAACTTCGGCATGGGAGATGCGAAAGCTAAGGATATGTCTTGTCCAAATGAACCTGCACTTCACTCTGGGAGACAAACCAGATGACCTGGACGAGATAGAATGGGAGAGGTGGATCTCCTGGCTGTGCCAGTTCCATCCGATCTGTTGCCTGCAAAGAGAGGAGAGATGCCTTACAGATGATGATATCTGCGAAAAAGCTTTGTAAGGCACTGGAAGATAAGCATGACAAAGAGCATTGAGACCGGCTCTACTTGAGGAAGAGGTGTTTCGTTTACGACTACATTAAAGCGTATTTCATGAACGATCCACTAAATAACTTCAATAAAATTATTACGGGATTTGCAAGAATTTGGATGATCACGTTGGTGATGAGACAAAGCATTGTTATTGTTAAATTCCTTGCTGACTCGTATGATCATCTCACTACTACTTTACTGTACGGTAAAGAGATATCAATATTATTGATGTTGCAAACAACCTTGTGTGAACAATGAGTTCAGAAGGAAAGATAAGTCTGCAAACAGGGACTCAACATCCGAGGCTATAGACAGTCAGAGGCAGACAAAAATAACGAGAGAAAACAAGGCGAGGAGAAAGATTCTAGCTCTAACTTAATCAGGGGGAAACCTTCAACAAAAAGACCGTCTTGCAAAAGACGAGGTGCAGTTGTCACGAGAAGGGCATTGGCGCAAAAGATTGTCCAAAATGAAAGAACAAGACAGTAGAGAAAGGTGAATATTCGCGTTACAGAGTGGAAGAATGAATGAAGGAGGAGCCTTCACTAAGGGCAATAAGATTTCGATTCATCCATGCCAGTCTCGGATGAAGTGATAATAGACTTTCGAGTTTCCATCAATAGCATGGTCCTAACACAGCCAGTGGTTCTCGAGGCTTACGAAGTTCGATGGAGAAGGATTGTGCTGAATGGGGCAAACGACCAGCTTTGCCAACAAAGGGGATTGTGGAACAATTTAATGGCTGAAGTAATCCATGATGCGACAATCAGAATTCTTGAAGATTGTACCGGTATGTACCAGATTAACCAGAGAACTCATCTCAGGGTATTTTTAGGACTCCAAAGGTTACAGA